CTCTCTTTTCTCTGGGCCAGATTCATCAATTCAGAAATATGTGATTAAATTACATACAAGAAAATTGGTGTGGAAAAAAATTCAGGATAGATTCAATAATATATATATATATGTATATATATATATATATATATATATATATATATATCCGGGTTCAATTACTCCGCCCCTCTCGGAGAGCCTGGCAAGCTACCAAGAGTATCTTGCCCGCACAGCAAAGCCTGGCAAGCTACACGTGACGTATTCAATATGCCGAACACAGTAACAACAAGTCTCACGATGGAGACGTTACTGGGCCCACTAGAGCAAATCAATGAATAACGGGAGGACCATGACCGTGATATATATATATATATATATATATATATATATATACATATATACTCATTATGTTAGCATTAAAAAACATAATTTTTACTCATTAATACAAATATGTAAAGCTAATTCACTTTCTAAAAAGTGAAAAGATAGCTTTCTAGCAAGAAACAAAAATTGCTTTGCAAGAAATAAAATTTAGAAACCTTAAGTACATTAACACAAAAACTTTATTATTTAAATAAGCAATACTTCTTTGTGATACACCAAAAGAATAATTTATAAGAGTTTCCATTGTAGAAAATAATTATGATTCTTAGTGATTTTTAAAAAGCCATGTAAAATTGATTATCAGACACACGTGTGCATACACACACTTAAGCTAAGAAGTTCTACTTTTAAGGCATTCTGATAATCACACATTCAAGGTATGTTAAAACAGCAAATGTAAGTAATCAAAAATATTCAAACATTATATTAATAGTGAAACATGATATTTAATGTATTGTTCTTCCAGTCTTGATTAAAGTACTGGCAGAACAAGTACTCAGAAACTGACCAATATAACAGGATTAGATGGGAACTTTTCAAAGGTTTTGCAGGTCAAAGAGATTATTTCTCCAGATCATGAAGAATCTGGGAGCTATAAATATCTTTTAAATAATCATCTAATATCAAAGTTAGCACACTTTGTTTTATTTTTATAATTATTATTTATTTTTAATTAATAATTATTTTTCTAATTATTAATAATCTGTAATTATTCTAGAAGACCAAACTAAAGTTAATGAAAAAAACTAGAAATTGATCTCCCATTTAACCCAGTTATACCACTTCAGGGATTATACCATGGGGAACCAAAAACACACAGCAGAAATGCCTTCTGCACTTCTGTTCATTGCAGCACAACTCATAGTAGCCAGAATCTGAAACAACTTGAATGCCCGAGAACGGATAACTGGATAAAGAAATTAGGGTACATCTACACAATTGGATGTACAATTGGATACTTCACAGCTGTGAGAAAAAATGAAAGCATAAAATTTGCCTATAAATGACTGCACATGGAAAACCTCATGCCAAGTGCAATAAGTCAGAAGGAGAGGAGTATAATATGGTATGACTGCATTCACCTGTAGATATCTATAGATAGATAGATAGATAGATAGATAGATAGATAGATAGATAGATAGAGATATATATAAGTACAGTATGAGACTTGTACCCAAAGCCAGGGAAAATGGGCCAGGAGGACTAGTCAATTGTTGAAAGCTACCAAGTTATGGGCAGTGAAGGGGCCAGTATGATAATAATAGTTGGAAATGATCATTTTGGATAAGAACTGAGTGTTGAATATAGGGAAAGGATAGGTAAAGGGATATACATGATAACATTTCAGTATTTGTATTATAAAATAAAATGCCCCAGAGAGGTTAGAAGGAGAGATGGGGGAGGGGGAAGGGGAGAGAGAGAGAGAGAGAGAGAGAGAGAGAGAGAGAGAGAGAGAGAGAGAAAGGACAATTGAGCAAAATTAATAAACAATTCATTAAAAACAGCAATTGCAGTTTCTCTAAACTACAAAGTATTTAACAATCTATAAGTGCTTGAGGAGACTGCACACATATACTTTATGAGGACATTAAGAATTTAATAGAGGGAGAAAAAATGCACCATATGTATAAGATAGCTTATAAATGAATTTTTTAAGTTTGAAGGAAAATTACGAGTGAGTGTGATATAATTTTATTCTAATAGAATCTCCAAATTAAATGTTTCTGAAGAATTGGGGATAAAAAGATCAATACAATTTCCAAATGACAAGACTTTCATGAATTTGAAAGCTTATAGAAATTATTTTTACCTATTTCCTCCCACATAGATAGAAGTTATTCTCCACATAAACTACCTCAAAACACTTTATAGTTTTATTTTCACTTATTTTGGTTCGATATGTAATCTGAACGTAAGCATCCAATAGGGACAGATCAATGCTCACTAACATGTTGTTTTCATCCATTTAATACAGCATAAAACTAGCTTTTAAACACAAACTCATTTACTGGCAGTTCCTTTTGGTTCTCATATTAACAGTCAATTTCAATTGTTTTCCAGGTTAAACAGAAATTACAATTCTCTATAATATATTGTATGATATGCTAATTTTTATCTATTTTGATTAAAATAAAATTAAGAGAGCAGATTAAATGATTATATGAAAAACATTTGTGTATAAGAAGTTAAGAATAAGACCACTCCAATGAATGACTTTTCAATATATCAATTTGAATATGCAACATAAAAGTTATAGAAAATTGGTCATTTTTAGAGGATGGTCTCCCAAGCAGTGTCCAGGGGTGCATGGGGGCCACTGCTGGTGACATCAGTCAATCCAGAAAATTCAATGCTCAGTTCTAGCAACTCAATCCCACCAGTGCTGGATTCCTCCAGGAATCTATGACCAAAAGTGCTCATAGAGTCATACATAGCCAGGATGTGGAACATGGCAACAGATGCCAGAGCAGATAAAATCTTTCCCTGCATAGCAGATAAAACCTTGTCCCTGCAGAGCAACCTAGAAGGGAGTGTCTGGGCGCATTTTACAATATCAGGTATCAGGCCTTGAGTCTCACTGCCCACCCTCCCTACCCTCCCTGAGAATTATCACCTATGCTTAGCTAGTCATTCCTAACTGCAGCATCTAGCCTGAATTGAGATTGGGCCAGGGCAAAGCAGAGTTGGAAAGGTGGTAGGTCAGTAATGCTAAACTTTACGTGATCGGACCATCTTCAAGTCGAGACCCTCTATAAAATATGTGTGTATTTGGTAATAAAGTGAGTGGCCATCGGCTGTCTCCCAGAGTAGTTTCTCCATGGGATCTTATCCTTTGCCCCATGTCTGAGAGGGCCTGGTGCACAATGTGTCTGGTCACGTTGGGGAAAAACTGTTCCCCAACACAGAGACTTGGTCACTGTGCCATCCATCAGGGAGATGTTATACACAATATTTCCCTGACTCCTGAGCTTTCTCCCAGGGAATGAGAAATGCACGTTTAAAAGGAAACACTGTCCTCCTAAAGTAGAACCAGCACCGATTTTGTCCATTTTAGTATGGGATATTATAATAAAGTACAACTACTTCTCAGCTTCGACAATGTATTTTCCTTAATTATTTCTCTAACAAAATGAAGTAGGGTTTTCTTGCTCCATTATAAAACAATTATATGTAACGTTATAACATGTGATAGCAATTAACAGTACAGAAAACCGTTAGTTTGGGGAGGAAGCAATAGTACATGAGGTAGGGTACTTGCCTTGCACAAGATTAATAAGGGTTTGTGATCCCTCGCCCTGGTCCCCAGAGCCCCTCCGGGAGTGAGCCCTGAAAGCAGAACTAGGAGTATGCCCTGAGCACTGTTGTTGCTGTCTCCCCGGTAAAACAGGAAAGAAAAATTTTAGTGCGAATTGTGGTTTAAGGCTAAGGCATGGGCACTAACCCAACAATCTTCTCAGTTAACCTTCTTTATTAAACATAGGATCCATGTTTGAGAACAATAAATAAATTAGTAGACCATATATTATCTACATCTTGGGGTTGAGCTGTTGAACTTCCTATTAATGGACATCTTTCAATGTTTAACATGTGAAAATACATTACCAGACAAAAATCAAACAAGATTGAATAAATATTTAAGAATAAATATTAGGCAGTTGAATTTTGCTCTGATTTTAAATAAGAGTCCCTGTTGGAAATTCCACAGTATCATAAACGCTAAGAGATGATAAAGAAACAAACGACACTTTATATGCGTGTACAGTTTCAGATGACCAAAGTCTTAATTTTTAATTCACAGTCCATCATGCATAAATACTCAAGATGCACCAAAAAACCATGAGGCGATACTACAGGTATTTACCATAATGCTTTATGGATAAAAACTGATTCATAAGCTGCACCACAATGTCACTGAAATTAAAAAAATTAAAATGAAATTAAAAAGCATTGTAATATTTAAACAATTACATTTTTCATAGTTTTATGTGACCTAAATCTCCCATTGTAAAAACGTGGTAAGAAAGTAGTATATATTTAAATATTATTCTTCAACTTCAATATTTGGAAAAGTATTCTTTATATATACAAATAATGCCACTAATCTGCTTCAGAATATTAGAGTATAATAATGTTCTAGAATCACAAGGAAAGTTCATGTATTTCACAACTGAATAGCAGATGTGGTATTTTCTGAATAAGAGTTATCTCACTGAAGCTGAGTTTACAGTAATTTTTCTTAACTATTTTATCAGATATGGCCACTGCACTGACTATAACAAAATTATCAAGAAAAAATAATTCTTTATTGTGGAAAAAAGAAATTGGTATTTGTGTGAGCTACAAAGGTCTGTTCTCTAAATGATAAGTTCACCTACATGTGTCAGAAGCAGCTGTAGCAAAATCAAGCTACACGACTGTGAATTACTATTAATATCAAGTAGCAAAAGAGAAACTTCACACTGCTTTGAAATCAGCCAAATTATAATATAACTAAGGTGATCATATGCTCACAGGAACTTTGACACAGTAGGTGTGGAACAGATCCTAAATAACTGAAATTTAATACCTGTATCTTTTGCATGTCCTGTGTAATGTTTCTTTACTAGGCAGCCTGGCCTGCTGTTCAGTCTTACCTGCACATTTCGTTCTGGTGATGAGCGGAGGTCCGGGGAGTCCTGTTCCACCTTCACCAGGTCTTGTAAGTAGAACACGAATCTCATATTCAGTATCTGGGTCCAGATGCCATAATTTATAGGTTGGAGCATTGACTGCATGCGTTTCTGTCCAGGATCCTGATGTCATTCGGTACTCCACTTCTTTGAGGATAATGGGACCATCACCAATGATGGAGTTGGCATTTAACTGAATCAGTAAATATGTAGGCCCAACACCGAGAAGCTGGGGAGGAGCAATGGGTCTTGGTGGTTCTAGGAGAGATACATGTACAAGTAATTAGTCATTAAAAATCAGAAAGACTATGATGCATCAATAGATTGAATTCTTAACAAGTCTTGATGAAAAGATTAATTTTGGATTACAGAATAATTTCTTGTAAGGAACCAGAAGCTGATAGCACAGCGGGTACAGAGTTTGCCTTGCATGCAGCTGACACGGGTATGATTCATGGTACCTCTCGGAGAGCCAGCAAGCTACCAAGAGTATCCCGCCTGGATGTCAGAGCCTGGCAAGCTTCCTGTGGCATATTCAATATGCCAAAAACAGGAACCACAAGTATCACAATGGAGATATTACTGGTGCCCGCTCGAGCAAATTGATGAACAGGAGGACAGTGCTACAATGCATGGAACCAGAACATGATTGGTCTGTACATTTGTTTGTGTTGCCATCTTGGTTGTTTTGTTTTGCTATATATTTCTCACTGATTTAGATGGAGATATAGCACCTAACAGAAATGGGGTGCATACACAGAGCAGGACCAGGTATCTCCCCAGTGAGCAAATTACAGCTATTAACACTCTTTGACGAGGCAGGTCTTGTCACAGTTCACACAGAAATTCCTGTCTCTCTTGTACAGCAGCTTGAGAACCCAATGGAGAACAATGTCCAGTAATACTGTGGCAAAGGGATTATAAGAATACTTTTGCAGTTAGGGTAAAATCATTTTACCATGTTTTCTTTAAGTAAAAATGTAGCTCTCCAGGAAGAAACTCGTAAAGGCCAAAGGAAATATAGAGAAAGTACTGGGAGATGAATAGCTCTGGTTACCTACATACAGAGTACAGTGGATCTTTAATAATCTTGAGGAACTAGAATCTTTATAAATCTCTAAATTAGGACATACTGCTATAACTCTTTTTATCATGCCTGAAGTATGGCCAGCTGGTGGTTTTCTTTTAGCTGTGCATTTTACTTCTGCAGTATTCTTGCAGATAAGATAAAAGAAAAGGACAGAGCAAGACTAAAATCTGAAGCTGATAATAAGTGTAGTATTCTTTATACTCCACCCCCATTCCCAAGTCAACACCTCATAGTATAAGAAACTTAAATCAAACTAGGGCAAAAACAAAAACCATTACACACAGTGGCTTTTGAAAAAGCAAGAAATAAGGCAAGGTATCAAATATTAAATATGAAAGTCAATGGTATATGACAACTAAATTGTGAACAGTGTAAGATACTTTGCATGAAAAAAAAAAATCATTGGATTCCTCCGCCCCTCTCGGAGAGCCCGGCAAGCTACCGAGAGTATCTCGCCCGCACGGCAGAGCCTGGCAAGCTCCCCGTGACGTATTCGATATGCCAAACACAGTAACAACAAGTCTCACGATAGAGATATTACTGGGCCCGCTCGAGCAAATCGATGAACAATGGGAGGACCTTGATGTTGTTGATGTTGGGAAAATAGCTTAATGCCAAATTGATAGAGATGGTAAATCAGGAATTAGGCTCTGCTATTTTTTTTCCTAAACAATAATGCAGCTGAAAATAAAGTCAAACTTTCTGAAGAACTCTACAGCTTTAGATTTGTTCACAAGATCTGTCCATGGGAATGTTAGGGCATGAAGAAGTTAATTAGCACACTCTGAGCAGGCAGGGCTTAATTTCAACTTAAAAGGAAAACTCAGGGAAATCACAACTTTCAAGGAATATATTCATCTCACAGAGCTAATGGCCCAACAATTGTGCAAAATATTTGGAAGTTAAAACAAATGCCATAAAGTAAAAGTAGTAGATGAAACTTCATGCTGATACTGCCCTTCTTAATAACAGATGACTTTGAGAAACTACAGATGGAAGTTAACAAAGACATTCATGATTTTTCAAACCAAACCTTACAAATGATTGGTAATGCATGTGTGGAAAAAGTAAAAGCAGTAAAAAGCAAATATGTTGTTTCACAATGTGATATAATTTTAAATAAAGTCAAGACTTTCAACAGAAGCCTAAGTTCTTTTAAATTCTGATTATATTAAAAGGTCTGTCGGTACACTTTATGAGTCCCTCAGTTATAAATATCTGTAATGTAAAAAAATAAGACTAATTGCCTAGTTATCTACACAGTTTAAAAATCACTTTCAAAAACTTTCCTTTAATATAACAGGCATTTACTGAGTAAAAATTAGCAGTGAGAATATTCTACATGTCGAGAACTTATAAATAATGGTAAGGGAGTTATGTAGCTATAAATCAGCAAATTCTTAATTTTAATATAAAGACCCTGACACTCTGATAAATAATAGTAAAGGGAGGCAAAAATATATTGAAAAACACTCATTTACAATATTAAGAATTATCAATAATCATAACAGTATCTTTCAAATTCATTTTACAGAGGATCATCTTTTTATTTTGTTTCGTTTTGCTGTGTTTGGGAATGGGGTCATACTCAGTGATGCTCAGGAATCACTCCTGGAAGTACTAAGTGGACCACTGAAAGTTATCAGTGGATCACATAGAATGCGATGGATTAAACCATTGTTGGTTGCATGCAAAGCAAGAGGTCTGACCTTTGTAATTTTCTCTCTAGGCCTGTGTTAATACTTAACATGCAAATAAAATTAAGTTTAACATGAGAATATAGGTGTGATATAAACCATCTATTTTAATGATTATTTCTATTTATGGAAAAGTAGTACATAACATCTGTTTTTATGAATTTTTATAGCAGGGTCAGAGAGATAGCTCAATAGGCTACACTCGGACTTTGCATGTGGAGTACCAGGGTTCTAACGTCAGCAAAATATGGTCTCCTAAGCAGAGAGCTGGGAGTGGCCTTCAAGCACTGCAATGTGTGGCTCCAAAGAAAAATTTAAATATGTGGATATATAAGGATATATAAGCATATATAAGTATATATACCTCTTATTGTCTAGTTTTTGCTCTCAGAGAACCTGGCAGACTATCGAAAGTATGCTGCCCGCATATATCCCTGACCAGGAACACCTGTAAAGGTGATTAGAGGCTGCCCCCAGAAGCCTCCATCCCTCTGAGAGCCTGGCAATCTACTGAGAGTATCCCACCTACATGGCAGATAGGAAAAGCTACTCATGGTGTACTCAATATGCCAAAACCAGTAGCAATGATGGTCCTCATTCCCTGGACCCTGAGAAAGCCCCCAATATGCCATCGGGCTACACGAGCACATGAAAGGGACGAATGTAGACATTACTGGCACCAGCTCAAGTAAATTGATGAACAACGGGACAACAGTGACAGTGATATATATTTTTTTTCATTCATTCTTACCAAATAAACCTGAACTTCTATTTGAAAATTGTTTCACAAATATGTGGTCAAAATTGAGGGCTAACTATTTTCTATATTATAATTGATTTCATTTGAGAAGTACTCATAAAATAAAGTTTATATGAAACCATAATGGGGAAGAAACAGTGTAACAGGTAGAGCAGATGCCTCTAACCCAACATTGAACTCCAGCACCATGTATGGCTCCAGAGCACTGCAAGTAAGGTACAGAGCCAGAACTCTTGCACATTAAGGGTTGTGATGTCAAACCCACTACCACTGCCCCCCAAAACAACTCATGAAAAACGAGAATAGTTTAGAATTTTGATTTATCAAAAAAGAGATTTTTCAAGTCATGAAACATTACCAACTAGACTATCAAGTTATATTGAGCACTTGCAAAAACTTTGGTCGCAGTGGACAAGGAGAAAGTTGATATATTTTCTCAATCTTAAACTAAAATAAAACTGAATAAAGAAATGAATGTAATAGAAAAAATGCAAATGTCTTCCCATACTATCTAAATGTTGCACATATTTTGAGAAGTAGAACTGTACCTTGTGAATAAACTGAGTTGTCTTATATGTACAATGTTTGCTTTCATTCCATATGGCTCTTACACTGACTAATTTAACATACTGAGTTCTAAACCAGAGCAGCAAAGCCTTTCACATTACAAAAAAACAACCTAAAGGAGTTTGAAATTTAACATGGTAAAATAGTATTTTCCAAGTGAATTATATATAATAACCTTTGGGTAAGCTATACATTTATGCATTCAGGTATACTAAAACTGATCTAATAAGTGTATATTAAATGCTACACTTCAATGAAGCCTCTGCAAACCACTGCCTAAGAAAATAAGAAGAAAACAAAAGAAAGCAGATTTGACAAGGAGGGAAGGAAATGGGAAATGAAAAAACATATAATAAAACCAGAAGAAAAGTATAATAATTCCTCTCTTGTTTCTATTTTTGAGAAAATTGCATATTAAAATGAAGTCAAGAGACCTAGTTTCAGGAACTAAAAGCTGGTTCAAGTTGGATAAGTTAACGCTGCATTACAATTTATAAGTAAACTAGGAATTATTCGAAGAATTTTTAGAGGATACATTTAAAATGTGTCAATAAGTTCTATATTTGATAATATTTTGCTTTGCTTCACTTTTAACAGAGAACATATATGTTTAAAAATTGAAAATTAATATTCAACATAAGTGTTTATGGCTATGAGGATATGCTAGATGTAATTAGCAAATTGACCTGCAAAAATACAACACTTCGCTCTGATCTGTTTTACATCTCACTTATAGCCAAGCAAATAATAAAAGCAATCCAGTAATCAAAACATTAGCTCAAATATGGAATTACAGCAAGAAAGTTGACTAACAGCATGAATACAAGAAGCAAAACCTAGCAGTAATGAGACTAATATATAACTAAATAATAAATTTTTTATGTTGGAGGTAAAAAGTAGCCTCTTATTAGCATATGCATTTTGTTTTTAGACCCTTGAGAACAAAAAGACTTATTTATAAAATCTCTATTCATTTCAATAAATTATGCATGAAATTTAATCAGTTAGCAAATGAAAAAGTAATTGTTCTGCAGCAATATTAATATTCTTCATAACTTAATACACTATCAGACCCTGAGGTGTGGTGTGAATGAATCCCAATTGTATACTAGGTATCAAATGAAGCATACAATACCCAAAAAAC